AATATTGATTGCTTTTGAATGTAGGTTGTATTAGGAAGTAGATAGTGTTTTAGAAAATAAGTATGATAACACAGTAAATACGAGTCAGTCCTGCGAAAAAATGAAGTAAAATTTTTCAAATTTATATTTATTTCAAATTTAACGAACTGCTGGAACTTTTGAACGAATTTACAATTTTCCTTGTTCCATCACAGTTCCTTGTTCCACCCATCCTCCAACAAGTTCCGCGTATTACCAAGTAAATAATTTATGAGTTTCGTGAGGCGCCTAAAACATGAGAAGTTTCATTTTTCTTCTCATTTATTTGAGTCATTCTATCGAATATTTTTAAAAATAATTGATATTCGATTAAGTCTACAGACTTGTTTCAGATATCATTGAAGCATCTCGGAATTACTGAACTCGTTTTTACAGAGAATTGTTGGACTGCGAGTCTTAGGCTCCAAATAAGAGAAATGTCCATATCATATGTAGGATCATTAAAATTGAAATTATTTTAATTTAAATTCAAATTCTTTCAATTTAACTGGATTAAGGTATTCCTGGAATTGATTTCGTATTTTGTGTCAGTGAATTCAACGGCACTAAATAAAAGATAGAAGTTTTAAATATAACTGGAACCTCGTTTGATTTAATCTTCGAAAATATTCTTTTGATCCATCCCACTTTCTTGAACTCCATGAATGCATTCTCTGTAATGAATATATTCTGTTAATAATAATTCTGCAATGATTTTTAACAAGGCCCAAAATGATTCCTTGAAACTGATCGTAAGCAAAAAAAAATTTACTTTTTAATGAACAAAGACCAAGTTAATTATAAGACAAGCCGAATTCTTGTGAACTCTATTGGGAGACTTAACTGACTCTTCTCCGAGGTCACCCGCGAACTCGTCTCCGAACTCACCAGCGAACTCGTCTACGAACTCACCCGCGAACTCGTCGCCGAACTACTCACCCGCGAACTCGTCTCCGAACTCACCCGCGAACTCGTCGCCGAACTACTCACCAGCGAACTCGTCTCCGAACTCACCCGCGAACTCGTCTACGAACTCACCCGCAAACTCGTCTACGCACTCACCGCGAACTCGTCGCCGAACTCACCCGCAAACACGTCGCCGAACTCAGCCGCGAATGCGTCGCCGAACTCACCCGCGAACTCGTCTATGAACTCACCCGCGAACTCGTCTCCGAACTCACCCGCGAACTCGTCTACGAACTCACCCGCGAACTCGTCTCCGAACTCACCCGCGAACTCGTCTCTGGCCGCCGATACGCCGGCTGGACAACTGGCCGCCGATACGCCGGCTATAACTTCTCGATCGAAAGCCAGGTGCTCTGAGGAATTAATGTCAGGAATTCTTGTTACATTTTTAGTCGCATTGCCAAGTCGGTAATTTGTTGTTGACGTCTGCAATTTATGTTTGTGCTTTCGAAAAATGAATTGCAAATTAAGGTTTCGCTTCGATGTTATTAGGAAATTCCCTATTAATAGAAACGCATATTAATAGAATATCCTCTTGAACTTGCATGCGACTTATGAGTATGTATTTTGTCCAGGCGCATGTCGGCTATTGGTGTTTTACGGAAATTTTTTTTCCGAATAATAAGAGTTTTATATTAAAAAACAGATACAAACTCTCGAAAAAATTAAATTGAACTCAAAAAACAGACTACGGCTTTTAAGAATATTGATACAAAAAACAAATTGAGGAAAGTAATCCATTGCAAACTCCACAAACTGAGAAATCATTTCAAGATGAAATCTGCCCAGAAACCGAGACGTTTCACCTCGTAGCAGGTATTTCAGAGCCGTTGCATGGGCAGCGGCCTGAGCTTCGCTTCAGAAGCCTTCCTATTATGAGATCAGCTGACGCCAGCCCTTCAGCCCCGATGCTGACAGCTCCCTCAGCCCCGATGCTGACAGCTCCCTCAACCCCGATGCTGACAGCTCCCTCATGTGTATAAGAGACAGGTCATGAATGCCTCTCACCAAAGATTGCCGTGTTTGTCTCACCAAAGATTGTCATGAATGCCTCTCACCAAAGATTGCCGTGTTTTTGTCTCACCAAAGATTGCCATGATTTTGTCTCACCAAAGATTGCCATGATTGTGTCTCACCAAAGATTGTCATGATTGTATCTCATCAAAGATTGCCATGATTGCCTCTCACCAAAGATTGCCATGTTTTTGTCTCACCAAAGATACAAAAAATAAAACAGCGAAAAGAAATCATCTCAAGACATCGTAATGATTATGCAAAATGATCTTAGCACACGTCACTGAATGTTCTATCAAACGCTTATGGCTACATCGATCTGTCTGATTTTTGGTGGAGATATGAAGAAAAACATAGGGAAGAAATCCTGACCTTCTAAACTTTTTTAACTCTATTACTTTTTGAGTTACAGCCATTAAAAGTTGAATGTCGTTTTTTTTGGACACACTGTACAGCTCACAAGTCTGTAAATCCTGAATGCATCTGCATGGAAGATGTAACATAATTAATTAACTGAATAAATTCAAGAAATCGCGGTAAGAATCGTTGCAAGTTTTTACGCTGTTTTGCCTCTCATTGCAAAGAAACTTTAAAAAAATATAGGATGGTTAGGATAAGATGAGCAAAGCTAGAAAAGGTTAGGCTAATTTGGGTTTGATCATTATGTTGTAATAGCATTAGAGTAATTTAACTAATGCATCTCTATTTTGATCTAAGTTATCTCAGCTAGAACTAACCTAACCTCTTTTTTAAAGATAAGAATTTTTTCAAAAACCAAGTAACGTACAAATTTGATAACGTCTTGTAACGTCAAGTAACGTGTTGCTTTTACTTAGTCATATTTTATATTTCATGCATCCGCTTAGAATTGAAGGATTAATGTGCTGCTCAGTTGCGTTTTTGCGTTTAAGTTCGCAGTTGTTGATTATGTTATTGGAAACGGATTTAAAGTTATTCAAAAACACATGACCTTAGGTAGCATTTTCATGTCCATTAACGTAACTTTAGAGATTATACAATTTCCTGATGTAATTTATTAATTTACAATTTTGTGCAGTCGAACATCAACGTGGCATTGCCGCCTGAATACATTGAAATTCACTTTCATTTATCATAGAATCAATCATTATACAAGATATAATAATTGCAATCTCCAGACATTTTCAATAATTTTTAGTCATTTAATACTACCAACATAATGCTTGAGTTAAGACAAAATCAAACAACAGCATATCGGGTGAGATGTAAGCCCTGCTCGTTATCATTTATCAAATTAATTAATCAGTTAATTCCTACGCCATTTAAACAATTTTAAATTGCACGGCAGGCCTCACATAAAGAGGTTTATTATCCTGAATAAATTTTTTAGATCGTGATGATTTATCAATGAATTCTATGATGGATGGAAAACAGCGTCCAATACAGAAATTTTGTTAGTAAATAAAAATTTATTTGAATTGCGACACATAACTTCGAACGACGTGCATTCCAAATTTTGGCGTATAATTGATAATTTATATAATTTTATTTCACCGAAATATTAGTCTGTGAAAATTTCGAAGCATGTGCCAAGATAAATGCATATTTATACGCGTGCGATCAGTGACCAGAGAATTCGTTGATTTCAATTATCAGAGTCTAAAATTAATTTTGTAATTAAATGCATGTTTGCATGCATTTGAAGCGCACTTATATGTAGACTTTTACAAACCTGAAATTTAAAAACAATAAAAAAGGCAGAGCATTTTTATTCTGTTTTAATTAAAACGAGACTTCTAGCCCTCGTCAGTTCTGAATAATCCATTCCTCGAACAAAAGAATTTTTCGAATTGTTTCGTCCAAAAAATGAACATTCCCTCAGTATTTTTGTCTTTCGAACGTCTGAAGTAAATTTGCCACAGGATATCTTCATACTCGTACGGTACAGTGCAGCCGTGACGGTAGTACGGCTGTACAGGAAGGCACTACCCTCTTGCATGTATTTTCATTTCAATTTTTCATTATTTTCGCACACAGAATTTTCCAGTAAAAATATTGTAGCTTAAATTATTAATGACATTTGCTGCATCGCCGAAGTCGCACTTATCATCCAGCGCCTAAAATCCATCCTGAGACCATTTCGTAACCGAAAATTATTCACGAATGATTTCATATTTAGAGTTAATCTTGAATATTCCGAAAATTAAATAATAGATGATGATCAATCTTTCGAGGATATTCATGAATTTTTATAATAAAATTTGATTGTAAAAAAACAATTAAATGATGACAGAATAAAGCTAAATAGGGTAATAATCGTAAAAACAGTCAATTTAATAAGAATTTATTAGTATAAACATGAGATGAAGAATTAAAGAAATCAATTCTTAGCCCAAATACACAGAATCACAAATATTTATATACAATAATACAAATTCTAAATATATTCCAATAACGATTAATTCATATGCAAGTGATATCAGCATCCTTCAACTAACATTAGCGTCCTGCGAATAACATTTGCATCCTGCAAGTAATATTACCTACGGAAATACAGAATATTTGTATTCCATGATAGTTATAAGAAAAATTCCTAATTATTTGATATGTTTAGGGCAAAGTTGATATTCCATCGTTACTTCAGTCACTAGTTTGTAATTCATACGAGCTTCTCCCACAAGCAATGCATTTAAAAAATTTATGCAATCCATGACACATACATTTTTACATATACATATAGTGATCCGTAAAACATTTGAAAGAAAACAAATCGAACTTGATAATGATGTTACAATAGAATTTATTTATTCGCTAATTTAATGTATTTTGAATGCAATATTTATTAACTCTGAAGTTATTTGCTTTAATTTACTTATAATGTAGACTATATTTGTATAGACGGTAACTTTTTTCCTTTTCAGAATGATTTCTCCAAAAAAATTACGCGTTTCTTTCTAGAGTTAGCGTAACGGAATTTTTCAAATAAAATAAAATTATCGAGATTTGGTGATGATTTTGACGGTAACTTTTTGTCCTTTTCAGAATGGATTTTCCAAAAAATTGTGCGTTTCTCTCTAGAGTTTATGAGTTCGCCATGTGAGTCTGGAAGTTGCAGTGCGGTAGTGAAGACACGTGGCAGGTTCCACTGCACAAGCTGCACTGCCACTGCACGACAGCACGCGGTGAAACTCGCGTCGGAACTTGTCTGTGGGGCGACATGCGAGGCTGATAAAGCAGTGGATTACGACAAATAATTCTATTTTCTTGAACTTTTTTAAACAAGTTTTTTTAAAGATAATAAATTGCCATTCATGTGAGAGGAACTTGTCTGTATGGCGACATGTGAGGCTGACAAACCAATGGATTAAGACAAATAATTCTATTTTCTTGAACTTTTTTAGAGAAGTTTTTTTTAAAGATAATAAATTGCCATTCATGTGAGAGGAACTTGTCTGTATGGCGACATGTGAGGCTGACAAACCAATAGATTACGACAAATAATTATATTTTGAGCAGTTTTTTTAAAATAATAAATTGTCATTCATGTGAGAACTCATCATAACTATTAAGGTATCGTACCCAGATCAGATGCATATCTTTTTTTGAGCGGAGGCGGTCAAAGCAATGGGTTACAACAAATAATTATATTTCCACGAACTTTTTCATAGCAGTTTTTAAAAACAATAAATTGCCATTCATGAGAGAATTCATTATAACTGTTAAGGTATCATAAACAATTCAGATGCATATCTTTTTTTGAGCGGAGGCTGACAAAGCAATGGATAAAGACAAAGAATTATATATCCAGGAACTTTTCCAGAGCAGTTTTTTTAGATAAAAAATTGTCATTCACGTGAGAATTCATCATCACTAATGAGGTATCGTACGCAAAGAAATGCCTAATTTTTAGCTCATTTTCTCATTTAACGAAAACAGGTGCTTTTGTGCTCGCCATGTCCGTCCGTCTGTCAGTCCGTCCATGACTTCAAGTTTTCGTCGACGAGAAAATGGGCTCTCTGTCACTCACTGCATTGAGTACCGAGTTATATTTTTTTGAACCATGCGTCGAAACATACGCAACACGCATGCATGCGTAACATGCGTAACATTCACGACCAAAGTTCTGACCGCTCATGAAGTTGTAGATGATGGGGTTGACGGCAGAGTTGGCGTAGCAGAGTAGATGGGAGACCTGGGACAGCAGCCTGTTGAGGGGGGAATTGGACATCACCCCAGCAACCCTAGAGGGGGGACATTTGTTTTAATGTTCAGAGGGGACTTTGACATCACCCCGCAACCCTGGAGGGGGGGAACATTTGTTTTAATGTTCAGAGGGGACTTTGACATCACCCCAGCAACCCTAGAGGGGGGGGACATTTGTTTTAATGTTCAGAGGGGACTTTGACATCACCCCCGCAACCCTGGAGGGGGAAACTATTACCATACTAATTACCATTCATATAAGAGATGCATAGAAAAGCAACCTTTTACAGTGGCGCCCGACCAGTTAGTCAGGTGACTGCACATCTATCTCCACGTGCCACACGAATCTCCGCGGGATCTACGTACGCGTGTGGACTTCAGAAAGCGTCAGGAACTTATTCCAGCACCTAAGCTGAGTATTTTATCTCATATAGATGAGCCTGTTAAATTTAGTTGTTCTACCGTATGTGCATATTGACCTTTGTCGGAACGACGCCAATGGCGACACTATCTATGTGATCCTTCCGCACCAAGCAGGTCGCACATCGTATAATAAACTTTATTAATGCTATTTTAATCATGATTTCATCCAAAGTGAATTGCCACATAATCTGTGCAACCACACCGTGGGTGCTTTCTTTCAAAATTCAAATGTCGAAGCAACGTTTGACTGGATTAGATGTAGTCTTCCGTGGCAAAGTACTAGAGCTAAGTTCTTTCGCTACCAGCAACACTTGTAATGTACGCTACTCATTGTTAGATCGATATATAATTAATTCTATATATGGGCTACGATGGCTTCATGAGAAGCCATTCTAAAAACTAAATGCCCTCAGGCTGACGCAATAACGTTGATCTTAATTGAGTCAACTCTAAAAAGTTGATAGGCGCAAATTATGCAGTAAAAATCCAATTCATAAGTAAACTTAATACTACAACCCCTCTTAAAAATATAAACGTGATGCTGCGATAAATTATTACGCCTTGAAACGATTGTTCCCCGACTACGATAGAATAATTCTGATGTAAACCGATTCATTAGTCATAACTAGTGTTAATAAAATGATATCCAATTATATGCCACCACTTACAGAAATGATAGTACAAGCCACTTTAATGACTTTGTTATTTTTGCATACATCACCATAGCTCTCATAAAGATGTTTTCATAAAGATTTCTATAATCCGCATGTTCAGATACTATATCTTAAAGAATAGTGTTTTTAAATTACATCGCGCTCTACGTGATCCTACGCGTAAAGGCTGTAATAAAAAAAGCAATGGCGTCTTTGAACGATTGGTTCAATGGCATTGACTCATATATAACGCATGGAAGTTACGGTTACCGACGGGTATCTGCATTAGTTGACAAATATGTACATTGACGAATGTATCTATGGACAAATGCTTCGTATACGAAAAAGTGTGTTAATTGATGATTATATGCATTGATAAAGCGTACATTGAATACCAAAGCTATGATTATGAACTATATAGATGTTTTATTGATGTGAATTATAGTAACGTCTCGTAAAAGTTCAAAAAGGGTAATTTTTTAATGAATATGTGAACACCTATTATATCCAGCCATTTTAAATATGCGATGCTAAACTAATATTACCGACGTACAACCGTTACTGCGAAGAACGTACGATCGCGTATAAGCTGCTCTATAATAACTTATTAAATTATGATTATAATATTATCATCTTGAGATGAAGATTGATTGTAAAGGAAGTCAATTCTTCACGATAGTGCACATAATCATGAGCAACTGCAGCTAATTAATCTAATTACCAGAGCCGATAACAATTTTGGATATGCTCGTATGAATATGTTTCATTTCTTAATAATTTACGAATTTATTTCATTACTTGCAGCCATTCATGAAATATAATGAAATATGAAATAATATGGGCCGGCATTTTTATCAAATATTGCCTGATATAATGATTATATTTATGGAGACTTGGAAAACGTTAGCTGAGGCTTTTATTTAATACGCAATTTCATGCCCACAACAACAGTTGCTTGATTCGTGAAACTCATGATTATGATACCATGCATAAGTCTCAAGCGTATGGACAACCACATTAATTATATAATGTGCGCCTTTTACAAATCACGTCACATAGAAGCGATGAGATTTTTCATACCTCAAACGAAGGCCGCAAGAGCTCAACGATGGTTCCGTGTTATGAAGTTCTATCAAGTAGTTCCGCATTGGGAACTTAAGAATTTCTGAATCTAACATGATTCTCTCCATACTAGAGGTTATTTATACACAATAATTATTCTTTGTAATTCATCTACGTAGTTGCATCAACGATTATAGTAATAAATGCGATAACCTGTCTACGTATACTGACGGTAGATTTTTTTTATCATTAACGGTAGATTAAAGTTACCAGTATCGCCTGTTTTCAATGCCATGAGTAGATCATGTGCAAAGACCGCAGCCAAGCTCGCCAAAAGTGCTGACGCTTACAAATAGATCAATGCTACCGACCTTGATCAGTTTGTATGATCGCATTCATTCCATGCTTTATACGTGCTATCCATATACATGACTTTGATAATATCTAATCGTTTTGATATAAATAATAGATGTAAATCAAGTGTGAAACGCCTCATATTGTAACGCAATGTTAATTATTATCTAGTTGATATAAAATTGTTTGTAGCGCCGCATATTGTAATGCGATTTAATTATAATATGATATCTCTTGCTGCTAATTTCAAGTGTTAAACTGTGTAGACGTAGACAGCCTAGATTGTTTTTTAAGCGCAGTCATAACGATTATATTATCGTCATCTCATGTTCTTATTTGAATTTCTTGTTCGACGATTTCTTATGATTTCATTTATTTTTTGACATATGAAGTCCTTACTGCTTGATATGATCTTCCATTATATTTCTAATATTCGATTACATATGATTTCTGTTATGAGCTATGTTTAAATGATTCAAAGATTCTGAACATATGTTTTCAGTATACAAATTCGTTCATGTCAAATTGAGAGACCAATTTCTCGTAGGGAGGAAGGTGTTATTGTGAATCTGAGTTTGCTATTCAAGATCTTTTAGCTAAATGTTTTACTGATTATTAATTCTTGCTAACAGCATGGTTTATCGACATGCTGCAATTTGTCATTTTTTGCATTGTTAATAGCACTCAAATTCAGGAGCGTTAACACTTCTGTTTGATTTGATAAGATCGAGGACAATCTAATAATTTCCCCGTACGGAGGAAGGTGTCAGGTGACAATGTTGATACCATTCGTCCCAGGGTATTTCCTGATTGATGTCTTCCTTGATGAAAGATAATATCCTTCACATGCGATATGTTCACCAGCATTTCCTTGTATTGGCCTTTCCTGTTTATCAATTCACGCCCTTGATGACGTCAAATAGCGAAGCTATATGAGCTCTGCCCAGGCGCGGAAACCTCAGTCTTGGGCCGAGAACAGTCGTGTGTAAGCCCTTACTCCTGTCCGTATCCATCTCGATTGTTGAAGTTGAAAGTAAAAATTCAGAGCAACAACAATATGAATAATTCCAGCTGCAGAAACACTAGGGCACTACCCTGCAGTTGGGGTGTGTATTTACAGTGAGACTGAAGTGCAGTATTGGCGAGTTTTCAGGGCCCATACTTTCAAAAAAAGTTAAGAGATCGTAAGTTCGTCCGCCAATCATTGACAGCCTTTCAAGCAAAATCCACCAATCATAGACAAGAAAATAGAGCGTAAGTACTTACGTTCACTTAGCGAGTTTTGAAAGTATGGCGCCAGGACAGTAACTTTAAATTAACGTCGAGTAGAAGATACACTCTAGACTTATCCATACTTCAACTGGACGCCGAAGACATCAGTGTTAGAGCTCCAACTTATAATCTGATTATCCTAAACTGTAAGCCTAACTATAATCCTAAAAGTATATTATGTAATCGTTTACGATGTTCCTCTATATCCTCGGATCCCGCTACATACGAACCACCCTCAGGTCATACTTAATTACGATTCTATATGTCGCATCGTCTACTACCAAATCGTAACCTTTTACAGTTTTAATGTTCAGGTGGGTAGGCATCACCCCAGCAACCCTGGAAGGGGGATTATTGTATTAATGTTGAGGAGGGTGGACATTACCCTCGCAACCCTGGTGGGTGGAACATATTGTTTTATTGCTGGAATAAAAAGTAACAATGGAAAAGCGCCTACGGAAATTTCTTTAATGAAGAAATCAATCATAGATACGTTCACATCGATTTTATTTTAAGTTTCCTTTGAACTATTGCGGAAGTTTTCTATCTTTTAATTGGGTCAATACAACGAACTTTCAGTTACAGGGAAATCATTGTTTCGTTGTAGCTCAGTTAGTTATTACAATAAGTCCAGTTAGAGCAATAAGTCCAGTTAGAGCAATAAGTCCAGTTACAGCAATAAGTCCAGTTACAGCAATAAGTCCAGTTAGAGCAATATCCAGTTAGAGCAAAAAGTCCAGTTAGAGCAATAAGTCCAGTTAGAGCAAAAAGTCCAGCTAGAGCAATAAGTCCAGTTAGAGCAATAAGTCCAGTAAGTGGACTAAGTCTCCCAACTTAGATGCGCGCGCATCAGTCACAGTAATAGCTTAATGGCTGCCGTTCATTGCGCCCAGGAGATAGAGGAACTTTTTATTTCGAATTGACATCACCGACGAAAATTTGTTTTCCTTTTACAAACCAAAAATTCATCACTTATTTGCGCGGTAAACCATAGAAATTTTACATTGTTATTTAAATAAACCGTTAATATATATTATTGACATTCAGATAAATATAAGCGAATAACTTCGACAATAATTCCGTAGATAATGTGCATTAAATCTGATTGAGTAAAATAAAATGTTTGAATGTCGGCACGCACATGCAAACAACATTTTTTTGTTGCAATGATTAAACGATGCGTGCACTCCACGCCATTAGTTTTGTGTGTGGTGTAATTAATTACACAAATGTTGTCAATTAAAAAGTAAAAGCATTGATTTCCCTATTGAATA